CAGTGAAGCCAGGTGGGCGACGCAGCCAGATCTCCTCGTGCAGGCTGCCCTGCAAGAAAGCAGTGCTGAAGTCAAGAGAGTGTAGCTCGTAGTCACGGTGAGCAGCTACGTGCAGCAGTACCCGAAGAGTGGTCATCTTCGGGGTGGGAGAGAAGGTCTGAAAGTAGTCAACTCCCTGCCGCTGACTGAAGCCACGAGCCACGTAACGCGCCTTGAAGACAGGCGGAGAACCCGGCGGTCGCTTCACCCTGAAAATCCACATGCCACTGACGATGTTCGCCCCAGGAGGGGGAACAGCGTCAACGTAGGTGCCTGTGGACTTCCAGGAAGCCATCTCTGCGTCCATAGCTGCCTGCCACTGAGAGGAGTAGGGACCCTCTATCGCCTCCGCGTAAGAGCGCGGAGTCGGGATGTCAAGTGCATCCGGGTCTCCCTCAGGGGTAAGCAGTACGGACACGAGATGAGGTGAAGCAGCGGCCAAGCACTGGAACTCCTCCTGCCTGTCCTCAAGGACGTCCGTGCCAAGGGCACACTCACCCCCGACGGACGGAGGACAGACAGACTCAGACTCAGCAACAAGACTGGCGACGTAGTCTAGGCGACAGCGAGCAGCAAAGTCGACGAGCTCAGCAACAAGAGCAGACGCAGCAGTGGACTCAAAGGAAGGGTCAGTGACAACCGTAGCAAGGAGACGCGTGACAGTAGGACTGGCAGCGCGAAGAGAGTCCGACTCCGGGTCGGCAAGAGTAGGAAGAGAAGACTCAGGAGGAGAAGGCAAAGGGGCACGCAGAGGAGCAGTGGACGGACGCAGAGACATCCGGTGCGTGCCAGGGACAGGAGGAGGACGCTGACGCGAACCGCGACCACTAGTGCGAGCAGCACGGACAGGCGACGCAGGGCGAGACGCAGGCTCACGACGCTCAGCAAGACCTCCAGTAGGACCAGTGTAGGGAGACGGAGCAGGCAGTGGGGAGGCCGGCTGTAACTGTAACTGCGACGGGACAGGCTGTGGACACTCTAAGGGAGGAGGAGGACCAGTAGAAGGCGGGAGACCAAGAACCTGCTGAAGGAGCGGAACGAAGTACGGCCGAGGCCGTGCGGCGACTCCAGACACAGGAGGGACAGCACCAGCACCCGCAGGGGCAGCACCAGCACCAGTAGCAGCTCCAGCTCCAGAACCCCCAGCAGCACCAGTAGTACCCCCAGCAGGACTGCCTCCAGGACCGACAGCAGTAGCCTCCGCGCCAACACCCGCAGCAACTCCAGCTCCAGAAGTACCCGCAGGTCCAGCAGCTCCAGAACTCCCAGTACGAGCACCTCTGGGACCCGTGGCACCAGCTCCCTCAGAAGCAACAGAACCTCCAGTACCCGCAGCACCTCCAGCTCCAGCAGCTCCAGCAGCTCGCCTCCAGCGCCGGGCAAACCACTCACGCAGCTCCTGGGGAGAGAGTGGCTCTCGGCGAGAGGGAGCACCCGGTGAACCGCCAGGCACAGCACCACCAGGCGTAGCACCCCCAGGCTCAGCACCCCCAGACGCAGCACCCCCAGGCTCAGCACCTCCAGGCGTAGTACCCCCAGGCTCAGCACCCCCAGTCGTAGTACCCCCAGGCTCAGCACCCCCAGTCGTAGTACCCCCAGACTCAGCACCCCCAGGCTCAGCACCCCCAGGCTCAGCACCCCCAGGCGTAGCACCCACACGCTCAGCACCCCTAGAGTCAGCACCCCCAGGCTCAGCACCCTCAGCAGCACCAGAGTCACCAGCGACCTCGACAGGCTCAACAGCGTCTACCTGGGACACACCTGAAGGGGCAGGACCCTGAGGGGGGAGGGGGTCTACCGGGGGGGGACCTGGTACAAGGAAGAGCGGTGGCGGGGGGAGGGACGGAGTGCGGTAGGGGAAGAGGCGGTAGTAGGGGACCGACTCGTCGAACGTGACGTCCTGGGAGGACAGAACACGGCGAGAGGTGGGGTGGTAGAACTGCCACCCTGGGGCGTCAGGGGGGAAACCCAGGAAGACGCAAGGAGCAGCACGAGGGGACAGCTTGTCCGCAGACAAGTCGCGGACAAACGCCCGAGATCCCCAGACACGGAACGCAGACGCATCGCCAACCTTCCCCGTCCACAGCAAAGCTGGGGAGGTCTCCGGCATGGAGACCCTGGGCTGAAGGTTGATCTGATGCGCTGCGTACCGAACCGCAAACGGCCACAGAAAATGGGGGGCAGCCGCATGCATCATGGACGTACGGGCGACGTCCATGACCATGCCAATGCGGCGCTCAGCAATCCCATTTTGCTGTGGAGAGTCCGGAAGCGTGAAGGTCTGGCGGATGCCTCGTGCACGACAGTAGGCTCGCAGAAGGCCAGAGGAGAACTCTCCGCCTCTGTCAGAGTGCAGACGCAGAACAGGAAAGTCCGAGCCAAAGCTCCGCCTGAGCTGGAGACGAGCTGCGCGGATCCAGTCGATCAACACCTCAGTGACATCACCCTTGCTGCGCAAGGGGAAGACTGTAGTGTAACGCGAGTAGTCGTCAACCACCAGCAGGAAGTAGCGCTCGTGACCCTGTCCACGGACGCGGGCCGGGCCCCACACGTCCATGTGAAGCGTCTGCAGCGGGGCCTCTGTCGGAGGAAACTGGGAGGAGTGAGGGGTAGCCCGCTGCCGTCCCTCGACACAGGGGACGCAGGTAGGGCCTGGCCCCGGAGGAAGGGGAGGGAGGGACCGGGGAAGACCAGAGACAAGGACACGGGAGGCCATGCTCCGGAGACGAAGCAGGGAGGGGTGGCCAAGGCGGTGGTGCCAGAGGAGAGTCTCGTGAGACAGGAGGCGACACGAGCAGGGGGCAGACTCAGGACCAGACCTGGACGCTGCAGCAAACACCTGACCCGACGCAGCTACCTGACCAGACGCAGGGACTGGAGGAGACGCAGTGGTCAGTGTGTACAGGCTCGACCCTGGCCGACGTGTAAACGTGGCCAGGTGGCGGCCTGTCCGAGCGTCCGTGCAGTGGGTCACCCGCTGACTCGCAGGAGTGAACTGGTGAACCCCCGCATCCTGTAGGTCAGCACCACTCACCAAGTTCGTAGAGAACGAGGGGAGGTAGAGACCAGACAGGGTGCCAGAGGGGGCCGCCGGACACGGGAGGACAGTGGAGAAGTGAGCAAGGACAGGACCCCCAGAGGGGTCTGCCAGGGAGACCGCAACTGGCCGGCCAAGCGGCGTGAGTGTGGTGCGGTCTCGAAAGAAGGAGCGAGAAGCCCCCGAGTCGAGTGTGAAGGTGTGGGAGGCCGCAGCCGACGCAGAACCTGAGAGAGCAGACTCACCAGCACCTGAGGGAGTAGACGCACCTAGAGCAGCAGCCTCGCTAGCACCTAGAGCAGCAGCCTCACCAGTACCTAGAGCAGCAGTCTCAATGCCCGGGTCGGGCGGAAAACACCGGTAACAGTCACCCTCATCACTAATAGTCACAGTATACACGGCAGCAAGAATAGCATCAAAGTCAAGGTCAAAGACAGCTACACCCGCCCTAGACAGCTCACCCCAGCGGGGGATCTCAGTGGCCTCAGGGAACTGGTGACGCCAAGCGTCCGTGAGGCGGCCAAAGCAGCGCTGGGTGGAGTGCGCACCCCCGCACTGCTCACCCGCGCGGTCGCCGGTGCGCAGGACGTAGGTGCACGGACCAGCACCCCCACCCCTCTGGCGTGCAGTGTACCACTCACGGAGCTGCTGAGGGGAGGGGACGTCACGAGTGCGCTGCTGCTGCTGCTGCTGCTGCTGCTGCTGGCGCTGACCACCACCGGAGCTGACCCTCTGCGCAGCGCCACCCCGACCAGCTCCACCTCCTCCGCCGCCTCCTCCTCCACCGCCGCCACCTTCGCTCCCTCCGCCACCGTCGCTGCCTCCTGCGCCTCCACTGCCGCCACCTACACCTCCACCCCCGCCACCACTCCCACCGCCACCACCACCTCCTCCACCACCTCCACCGCCGCCTCCACCGCCCCCGCTAGCTCCTCCAGCGCCCCTGCCCCCCTTGCCCCTGCCAGGGCGGCGTCTCCCGCTAGGGGTAGACGCTGCCCCAACCGACTCCAAACCAGCAAGGTCGGCCGCAGCAGCAGAGGCAACAGAGGGCAAAAGAGGGGAGGGGGAACACCCCTCAAAGATGGGGGTGCGAGGGTCACCACGAGAGGCTCCTACAGCGACTATGCTCTTTTCTGCTGCTAGGAGGGCCTTCTCGAGGAGGTCAACGGTGAGAGTGGTGGGACAAACCGAGAGGAAGTGGTCCCTGACTACGCGAAGGGAGTCAGGGAGACGGGTGACGATGTAGTAGAGGGTGATGTACATGGGGGGGGGGGTTCTTGGCGCAGAACTCAGCAGGAAGCGCAGCGCGGTAGCGAGTGTCACTAGTGCGGAGGTGCGTGATGAGGTCAGCGACTGTGGGAAAGGCAGCAAGGTCAGGGAAGAGGTACGGTAGCATGAGGCGGCTCAGTGCAGACTGGCCCCTTTCCAGCTTTGTTGATCGAGCCACACTCACCGCCATGTGCCAGTCGAGGCATATAAATCAAGTCTCTGCTTTCACTCCGCTCACCACCCCACTTATCGGTGTGCTCGCACTCGTCCTCTCGCAATCGCTGCTTTTTTATCCCCCCCCCGTCAAAGGCAGCCGCGCATACAAACGCACCGAAATTTCAGCTGTTCCAAAATTTCACACGCATATCCCAAAGTCCCTCTTGAAAATTTTCAAGAGTATTCCACAATTTTAGTACTGAGAGTAGCCATTTCCCCGCCACTCGCGGCACTGTCTTCACGCTACTCGCACGTGGTACAAGGTGCAATTAATCGACTCAAAAAACATACTACTAAGGCGCAGCTAATACAAAAGTGGGGCTCATATTCTTTAATTTGTCGGTGTTTCAGCCGACGCGCGCCCTGCGGCGTGAGGTGTATCGTTTTCTAGGCCATAATGACCGGCTGTACGGTTGGATACTGTAGCAGAAGCTCAAATATGAGTGTGACTCTTCTGCTCGTGCTGCTGGCTTGCGCGTTCGCGATACAAGCGGCACCGTTAAGGGGCGGGCACGGAATGGCGGGGAAGCTGCAGCAGCAGCAAGCGGAGGGGTACATCGAGATGCCGCAAGAAGACGACAACGCGGCGCGCGTCAACGAGCTGCCTTCCTTCGAACGGTCTATGGAGCTATATCGCGTACGATCTTACCTGACCCTCACCGAGATTCGGTTCACGTTTTTTCGCAACAATACATCTCGACGCGGCAATTCGTCCGACCTCCAACCCCACCGCTACCCTCTCCGTCCGCTCCCCCTCTCCTCCTCCCCTTCACCCCCGGCCTCTCTCTCCTTCTCCGCCCGCCATGCCTGTTTTGCCATGCAGACTTTTTAGAATTCTAAAGACTCGTCTCCCTCCCCCCCTTCCCTTCCCTTCCCCGTCCTTCCCCCACGCTCAGGCCTGGGAGGGGGTCTACGGCCTCGCGGACCCCGCGCAGCCTCCTGCGCGCATTGCCCTGCCGCCCAACGTGCCGCGCGCTCCGCACCTGGAGGACTGCTCTGCGCGGAGCACGTTCCGTCAGCAGACGGAGGCGCGCGGGCCGCGCGGGGAAGCGCCCACGTGGTCCAGCGTGCCGAGCGGGTGCCGTTACCCGCAACCGCCTTGGGTGAGTGCTGGCTCGTGTGAAGGGGAGTGGTGAGTGGTGGTGAGTGGTGGTTGCGCGCTTGGCGAGCAATGGGTGACGGCTCGTTGACGGATCACTAAACAAGGCGGCCTTCACCCTCCTCCTCCCACTTGCCCCCACTCCCCAACCCCGCCCCCTTCCCCCGCCCTTTCCTTTCCCCCAGGTGCGCGGATCGGACGCCGCCAATCTCGCCGGGACGCGCCAGGCGCAGGCCGACATCTGGCTGCACCAGTTCCCCGCGCGCTCCGCCTCCGCGGCCGCTCAAGCCGCCAGGGGGGAGTGCGTCGGGCGGCGGTTGCTGGTGGTGCCGTGGCCGAGCCGCAGAAACGGCATCGGGTCGCAGATTCACATCATGAGCGCGTGGCTGAATCACGCCATGTCGCACGACCGCATTCTCGTCCCCACGCCCGGATCCTTTGAGCGCGCCAACCACTCCCACTGCACTGGTAAGGACTGGACTGGTAATGTCTGATCAATACGGTAATGAGAGGTGTGCACAGGCGCTCACTTTGGCCCCTCCTCGTCTCCTTCTCCCGCAATTCTTCCCCCCTCGCTACCGCGACGCACCCGCATGCGAAGAGACAGCACTAGAAGGGCGTCCGTCACCTGTCCTTCCCTTGTTCCCCATCCCCCCACCCCTTCCCCCTCCCAGGCGCAGCCAAGGGCTCCTTCTCCTGCTACTTCTTCCCCCTCGTCGCCCCCTCGTGCGACGAAGCCGCACTCGAAGCAATAGCAGCCGTCGCAGCAGCAGGGCCAGCAGGGAAGGGTGGGGTGCGGGAGGGGTGAGCTTGCTGGCTACAAGTCCCACGGGCATGGGCGCAGAGGAGATGGCGGCGGTACTGGCGTCCGACGCGCGCGTTCTGCTCTTCACTGAGTCTACTTTTCCCCCGCACTCCACCGCGCTTGCTGCTAGGTGAGACTCTTGAGGCACCTTGATAGTAGGCGTCAATGCTGGGAGTACAGGCAACGCTAATGGCGTCCGACGCGCGCATTCTGCTCTTCACTGAATCGACTTTTCCTCCGCATTCCACGGCGCTGGCTGCTAGGTGAGAGAGAGGTTGCATTGGAGGGGGGAGAGGGGGTGGATGGGAAGTGGTGGTGATTGTAGGTGGGGTGGGGTGAGCGTGGCGGCTATGACTCCCCCAAGGGAATGGGCGCAGAGGAGATGGCGGCGGTACTGGCGTCCGACGCGCGCGTCTTGCTCTTCACCGAGTCTATGTTCCCCCCGCATAACACCGCGCTTGCTGCCAGGTGAGAGAGATTGCATTGGAGGGGGGGTGGGGTGAGCGTGCTGGCTACGAGTCCCAAGGGCATGGGCGCAGAGGGGATGGAGGCGCTGATGGGGTCTGACAGGCGCGTTCTGCTCTCCACTGAGTCGACCTTTCCGCCCTTTCCGCCCCATGCCACGGTGCTAGCTGCCAGGTGAGACTCTTGAGGCAACAGGCATTTGATTCAGGCATCTGGTCCCTCACAATCCAATACCCCGTGCATTGCACGGTGCATACTGCCAGATGACAGAGAGGGGGGCACGGCAGTTCTAGAGAGAAGGGGGCACACGGAGGTGCTGGGGTGGGCCGTTCTAACTCTCTCACCTGCGCCTGTTCCAAACCCCTCCTTTCCATCCCCATCTCCCTCCCATCAGGCGGTGGGGCACAGCGTTTCTGGAGAGCAGGGGGGACACGAGGCGATGTGAAGGCTAACTCTCTCCTCTCTCACCTGCGCCCCTCCAACCCCTCCCCTCCAACATCTCTCTCACACCAGGCGGTGGGGCACAGCATATCTGGAGAGCAGGGGAGACACGGAGGTGATGGGGCGGGTGCGCGTGGAGAACCCTCCGTACCTGCAGCTACACTGGTGGCGAGCGCAATCCTTCCGCTTCATGCTGCGCTGGCCCTCAGCCTACCTCTGCCACCTCACCAACCGCGCCCGCCACGAGGCTTACGGCCTGCCTGTCGCCACCCGCCTCGTCAACTCCCTCTTGCAGCAGCAAAACATCATCGCCTCCCTCTCCTCCCCCTCCTCCTCCTCGCCTTCTCACTCCCTCCAAGACTCGGCCAACCCAGACAATCTCAAGATCAACGTATCATCCGAAGCAGCAGTGCTGGCAGCTCTCTCCTTCTCCCCACAAACCTCCCTCGAAACCAGGGCCTGGCCCGCTCTAGGCTTCGACGGGTGCTCCTCTGAAACCCACGTCTCTCCGGAAATCGCCCAGAAACTCGACCTCACTCCCTCCTCCTCCTCCTCCTCCTCCTCCTCTCCCCCTCTCACCTTCACGCCGCAAGGCATTGTGGATTCGGTGTATGAGGGGGTGGGCGGGGAGGTGTACATGCCGCGGCCGATGGTGAGCGTGCATGTGCGGCAGGGTGACAAGGCGATCGAGATGGAGCTCTCCTCCTTCGCCTCCTACATGTTCCTCGCGTACCGCCTCCGCTCCCACACGCCGGATTTGCAGTATGCCTGGCTCAGCACAGAGATGGAGGTGAGCGGATCCGAATCAGGCAGAATGAGAGGAGGAAAGGAAGGTAGAAGAGGCAGCGAGAGTGGAGAGAGGGGGAGGGGTAATGGAGGCTATGTGTGGGGTGTGTGAGTGGAGCGAGTGTGGTGGCCGGTGGTGAGCATGCGTGTGAGGCAGGGCAACAAGGCCATAGAGATGGAGCTCTCCTCCTTCACCTCCTGCGTGTTCCTCGCGCACCGCCTCCCCACACGCCCGATTTGTGGTATGCCTGGTTGAGCACGGAGATGGAGGTGAGCAAATGGGTTTGAATGAGGGGTGGCTGTGGGTGTGAGATTGGGAAGGAGACATGGATTGAATGTTGAGGGACCAAGGAGAGGAGAGGGAGAGTGGGTGAGTCCTGAGCGGAAAGTGAGTGTGTGAAGCTTGCTTGAGTTGGTCTCATTCACTCCCACCCCCATTTCCCCTCACCCCATCTCCCCCATTCCCGCAATGAAATTGTTTTGTCTCATCTACATTCACTTCCTCCTCCCCCTCCACCCCCACCCACCCCCCCTCTCAAACCGTTTTTCCTTATCTGCAGTCGGTGGTTCAGCAGTCTCGAGCATACAAGGACTGGACCTTCTTCTACACTCGCAACAAGAGGCAGACAGGAGCAACAGCCATGGTGGCTTATGAGCAGGACGCGGGTGTAGAGCTGCTGGTGGGGGTAAGCTTTGCCAACCTCATTATAGCGTCGGAGTGCGATTATTTCATCGGTCCGCTCAAGTCCAACTGGAACAGGCTAATCAATGGCCTGAGAATGACAAATGGACGCATGAATAGGGGATATGCGGCTCTCAATTTCGGAGGATGGTAGCGGTACTGTATAATAAGCAGCCAATTAAGTAAAGAGTGGCTCCGTGTTGTGGATTGTACATTCAAGTGCTGGATCATCATTAACATATGACATTCTTCTTACCACGTTTTTTATTTGTACACCGATTCAGCTGTTTATTGTCACTAGGCTGGGTTTCTGTCCAGCAGCCTGTGTTCTGATTGTGAATTACGCTTTTTTTTTTTTCCCTGATGTTACCTGTAGCTGTAATACCCAACGACCGAGTTTCTTCATGCCTGGGGGCTCATTACAATATTTTTTGGTACATTGCCAACCAGCCAAAAATGCACAACCGGGGCATGTTCCTACTGTTAGAATTTGAAATGATTGAGTAGGATCGTATTACTTAGGATGATAGCTTCCTGTCGTAGCGGAAGTCTTGTATGAGTTAAAGCCAGTTATAGGAGGCTTTGTCTGGACTAATAAAAGCCCATGTAGTGATATGTTTCAGGATCAATGTCTCAGAAATCAGATATATATAAAATGACAAGCATACAGAATATATAGCTAGAGTAAAGTACCTGTTCGCCTACTGTACTATTTTTTTTTTTTTTGTTGGGCTGAGAAAAGCCCTTAGGATCTTTGCAGGACTAAATTCTGAGTAGTACAATGTAATAACGGAAGAGTTTAATGAGAACTTTGTGAACCACCTTGCGCTAGTATGTGAGGGCAAAGTAGATTTGTTTAAAACAAAGGGATACAAGTTTTTATAAGAGTACAAGGAATACGAAGAGATATAGTTAATAACCGTTTTGCTATTGCTGTTGCGGTTCGATACAGTGACGACTCGGGCAACTGTTCAATAGCGAGTCAGTTGTTTGTCCTTGCTGTCGCGCTGTATTTGTCAGGTCAAAAGTCGCTGATCTTTGACTTTCGCATAACCTCCAGCAGTTGTTCAACCTCCGAGGGTTGACTCGCTAATGATTCGATATGTTTTGCTTCGCTTCTGACTTGGTGTTTCGACACGACAGAAGCGCTTCAATCAATTGTTTCCAACATTATTCACGCTACCGTATTCCTGTTCTGAAACGGTACGTGACTATTTGCGAGGTCTATAGCTACGTGCTGACGTCATCCTAGGGCGCGTAGCGCTTTGCTGACGTCAGCCTATCGGTACTTTACTATTACGTGCGAAGTCTCGCACTGTACTACACGAATTCCCTGAAGTGCTTAAGTCTCCATATTATCGTATCACCCCGGATAGTAGTGTCGAACATTAATCACATAGCCTGTTTAGGCTGTAGTGGGGTAGACACTATGGGGTACAGCCTCTTAGGGTTTCATATTTGTACCCAACTCATTTTCTATTCCATCATTCATTCCTATTATTTTCACATGGTATAGAGCGGGTTCCCTAGTGGAACTGTTCCTTCCTATGGGCCCACCTTAAATTTTTTTTTTTTCTGCCCGAAGCGCGCTTTGCGCCCTGCCCTAGTCTTCTGCGGCCCCTTACGCGGCCTGCCCTCCCCTTACGCGGCCCCTTACGCGGCCCCTTACGCGGCCCCTTACGCGGCCCCCCCTACGCGGCCCCGACCCTGTCCCGGCCCCGTCGCGGCCCCGTCGCGGCCCCGACCCTGTTGCGGCCCCGACCCTGTCCTGCCCCGGCCCCGACCCTGTCCCGGCCCCGTCGCGGCCCCGTCCCGGACCTGCCCCGGCCCCGACCCTGTCCCGGCCCTGCCCCGGCCCCGTCGCGACCTCGTCCCGGACCTGCCCCGGCCCCGACCCTGTCCCGGCCCTGCCCCGACCTCGTCGCGGCCCCGTCCCGGACCTGCCCCGGCCCCGACCCTGTCCCGGCCCTGCCCCGGCCCCGTCGCGGCCCCGTCCCGGACCTGCCTCGTCCCCGACCCTGTCCCGGCCCCGTCGCGGCCCCGTCCCGGACCTGCCTCGGCCCCGACCTTCTCCCGGCCCCGGCCCCGACCCTGCCCTGGCCCCGTTGCGGCCCCGTCCCGGACCAGCCCCGGCCCCGACCCAGTCCCGGACCTGTCGCAGCCCTGCCCCGGCCATCCCTCGGCCCTGCCCCGGCCTCGACCCTGGTAAGAGCATAGCAGGGCCGAGCCGCGCTGCCGAGCCGCACTGCCCTGCCGAGCCGCCCTGCCGAGTCGCGCTGCCCTACCTAGCTGAGTTGCACTGCTACTGCTGCTAGTCTTCTGCTGCTCCTGTCATGGCTAGTCCCTGTGTTCTTACCTTTGATGCTGAGGGTCGAGCGGTTGACTTCGATGTCTGGCTAGATGATCTGCAGCTTTTCCTATAGTGCGATAGCAAGGATGGCCTCTCACTGTTCGATCTCACGTCTGGCGCCTCTACTGCCCCTGCTGCTGATGCTGACAGTACTGTTCGCTCGCAGTGGCTCACGCGCGATGCTGCTGCCCGCCTTGCTGTGCGTAGTCACCTACCGTCTACTGAGCGCGCGCACTTTAGTCAGTACAAGAGTGCTAAGACTCTGTACGACGCTGTAGTTGCACGCTACTCCTCCCCTGCCACTGCTGCGCTTAGCCGCCTCATGCTACCGTACCTGTTCCCTGACCTCGCCGCTTTTGCCACAGTCACTGACCTCATTACGCACCTCCGCACTAGTGACACCCGCTACCGCGCTGCGCTTCCTGCTGAGTTCTGCGCCAAGAACCCCCCTCCCATGTACATCACCCTCTACTACCTAGTCACCCGACTCCCTGACACCCTTCGTTCGGTCAAGGACCACTTCCTCTCTCTTTGCCCTACCACGCTCACCGTTGACCTCCTCGAGGAGCGTCTCCTTGCAGCAGAGACTAGTATTACCGCTGTAGGAGCCTCTCGTGGTGACCCCCGTACCCCTTTCTTTGAGGGGTGCTCCCCCGTTCCTCTTTTGCCCTCCGTTGCCTCTGCTGCTGCTGTCGACCTTGTTGGCACCGAGTCGGTCAGCGCTGCGTCTGCGCCTAGCGAGAGGCGCCGCAACGGCAAGGGCAAGCGGGGCAAGGGCGCTGGAGGAGGTGGCGGGGGAGGAGGTAGTGGCGGTGGAGGCGGAGGAGGGGGTGGGGGTGGGGGCGGAGGCAGAGGTGGGGGCGTCGGTGGCAGCAGTGGCGGTGGAGGCAGCGGTGGCGGTGGCGTTTGGGGTGGAGGCGGCAGAGGCGGCGGCGATGGAGCTGGTCGAGGCGGAGCTGTGCAGCGGGGACCCCAGCACCAGTCGCGCTCTCGTGAGACCCCGTCGCCCCAGCAGCTTCGTGAGTGGTACGCAGGGCGCCAGGGGTCTGGGGGTGCTGGTCCCTGTACCTACGTCCTGCGCACCGGCGACCGCACTGGAGAGCAGTGTGGCGGCCTGCACGCCACCCAGCGCTGCTTCGGTCGCCTGACTGACGCCTGGCGTTCCCAGTTCCCTGACGCCACTGAGATCCCTCGCTGGGGTGATCTGCTCAAGTCGGGTGTAGCTATCTTTGATGTTGACTTTGATGCTATTCTTGCTGCCATGTATGCTGTGTCTATTAGTGCTGAGGGTGACTGCTACGTGTGTGTTCCGCCTGACCCGGGCATTGAGACTGCTGCTCTAGGTGCTAGTGAGTCTGCTGCTCCAGGTGCTCGTGAGTCTGCTGCTCCAGGTACTCGTGCGTCTGCTCTCTCAGGTACTGCGTCGGCTCAGGTTTTGCACACCTTCACCCTCGACTCGGGTGCTTCCCGTTCCTTCTTTCGAGACCGCACCACCCTTACGCCGCTCAGTTGGCCGGTTGCGGTCTCCTTGGCAGACCCCTCTGGGGGTCCTGTCCTTGCTCGCTACTCCACTGTCCTCCCGTGTCCGGCGACCCCGTCAGGCTCCCTGTCCGGTCTCTACCTCCCCTCGTTCTCTACGAACTTGGTGAGTGGTGCTGACCTTCAGGATGGCGGGGTTGACCAGTTCACTCCTGCGAGTCAGCGAGTGACCCACTGCACGTGTGCTCGGACGGGCCGCCACTTGGCCACGTTTACCCACCGACCGGGGTCCAGTCTGTACACACTGACCACAGAGTCTCTACCGGTTGCTGCGTCTGGTCAGGTAGCTGCGTTGAGTCAGGTGTTTGCTGCAGCGTCTCGGTCAGGTCCTGAGTCTGCCCCCTGCTCGTGTCGCCTCCTGTCCCACCAGACCCTCCTCTGGCACCACCGCCTTGGTCACCCCTCCTTGCCTCGCCTCCGAGGCATGACCTCTCGTGTCCTTGTCTCTGGTCTCCCCCGGTCTCTCCCTCCCCTTCCCCCGGGGCCTGCCCCTACCTGCGTTCCCTGCGTCGAGGGGCGGCAGCGCGCCGCTCCTCACTCCTCCGAGTTTCCCCCGACAGAGGCTCCACTGCAGACTCTTCACATGGACGTGTGGGGCCCAGCCCGCGTCCGTGGACAGGGTCACGAGCGTTACTTCCTGCTGGTGGTTGACGACTACTCGCGTTACACCACAGTCTTCCCCTTGCGCCGCAAGGATGAGGTCACTGAGGTGTTGATCGACTGGATCCACGTTGCTCGTCTCCAGCTCAGAGAGCGTTTCGGCTCGGACTTTCCTGTTCTGCGTCTGCACTCCGACAGAGGTGGAGAGTTTTCCTCCAACCTTCTGCGAGCCTTCTGTCGTGCGGAGGGCATCCGCCAGACGTTCACGCTTCCGGCCTCTCCACAGCAAAATGGGATTGCTGAGCGCCGCATTGGCATGGTCATGGACGTCGCTCGTACGTCCATGATCCATGCGGCTGCTCCCCATTTTCTGTGGCCGTTCGCGGTTCAGTACGCGGCGCATCAGATCAACCTTCAGCCCCGGGTCTCCATTCCGGAGACCTCCCCTACTCTGCGGTGGACGGGGAAGGTTGGCGATGCGTCTGCGTTCCGTGTCTGGGGATCTCGAGCTTTCGTCCGTGACTTGTCTGCGGACAAGCTGTCCTCCCGTGCTGTTCCTTGCGTCTTCCTCGGCTTCCCCCCTGATGCGCCTGGTTGGCAGTTTTACCACCCCACCTCGCGTCGTGTTCTGTCCTCCCAGGACGTCACGTTTGACAAGTCGGTTC